GTTTGTTTGACGGTGATCGTGTGTTTGGAGAATGTGGAACCTTTTGCTATGAATACTTCCACCACCTAAAAGGCCTTCTCCCCATGTCCAAGACCCTAGCCAGTCATTTGAACCTGTGTCTAAGACCTCCTGATTAGTTAGTGGTGACACCCCATATGTGAACTCTAGCATTTAGAGGCTGCCATCATGGTGAAGAGATGATAGGGATTGAGAGAAATAGCATGCGCATCTTTCGCATCAAATTGTCCTGACCCCACTGGTCGAGAGTGAGTGATTCATTTTCATTTTCTATATGCTCTTGTACCCCGGTGAGGACCTAGATTGCTCGGTCTCTATTCTGATGTCTTGAGTTGGATGCATGAGTTGACTGTTTTGAGTAAGTGGTTGAATCAAGTCTAGGTTGGCCATTGAACAGAAGGGAGATTCTTCCTTTACTGGATTTGCTGCACTCGAATGTCCTTTGTGGTGGTTGTCCAGGTTGTTATTGAGATTGTGCATGTATTGATGTTTGAAAACCAGTGCGATTCACGTGTTCTGTGCCTTTATGACTTGTCCCCAATGTTGGTTGATTGAAATATGTAAGCTTACCTAGTGTCTGACTTGTTTTGCTTGGGGACAAGCAAACGGTTAAGTGTGGGGGAGTTTGATAGACCGTCATTTACACATGTTTTTACCCCCATTCTTACACCGTTTGAGGTGTTGATTCTCGTGTTTTAGGCCGATTTCACGCTAGGTTGTGCTTGTTTGTGATATTTCAGGTCCTAGTACGTGAATGAAGGCTTAGGAGCGAGTCTGGGGTCGATTGGACGAAGAACGGACGAATGGCGAGGTTTTTGGGGAGCTGCACGGGCAGACCAGGGAGGCTGCACGGCCGTGCACGTGAGCAATCTGGCCGTGCGCTTTACGCCGAGGCCACGCACGGGCAGGCCCTGAAGATCGCACGGCCGTGCACCCTGGCCATGCGAGAAGCTTGAGGTCGGACTAAATGACACGCTGCGTTTTGGGTTGCACGGCCAGAATGGTGATATGCACGGCCGTGCACCCTGGCCGTGCGAGTCGGGAAAGCCTAGTTTTAGAGCCTATTCCGAGCCAAAAGTGGGAGAACCTTGTTTTGAGAGCAAAAACAGAGCCCTAGAGAGAGAAAGTGCGAAGAACACACCCTAGAAGCTGTCTTAGAGCTGGATTTCATCGAATCGAGCTTGGAGATCGTCATAGGAGTGGAAATCATCGTCCCGGAGCAGATTATCCTCGTCGTTATGAGTATGACTAATCCGATTCTTGTTTTCTCTTCTCTCTCTATGGAGTAGAACCCTTCTCTCACTTGGGTATGAAGAACCCTAGTTCCTTGTGTTAGGGATTTGATTGTAATGACTTGGGATGATATTACTGTTTGATTTTAATCGAATGACGCATGTTTAATGAATTGATTTGAGTCTGATCAGCTTTTCTCAATTTCTGCTGCAACCTGAGATAGATAGAATCTGATTAGGTTGTTAGAGCCTCTTCATTCGATAGTAGGAGATTGGCTATACGAGAGTTAGTCAGTTTACTGCTTTGTACTGGTGTTCTTGGCGCCAGTAGTGGAGTTCTGTGTTCATAGCCTCAGCTTTCTATCCCGGTGAAGACTAGTCGTCTGCCGGGTAGTTAGACTGAGAGGGCTTGGTCAGCTTAAGAGATTCCAAGCTACTGTCGGATCTTCCGCAGTCTAATCAACAGTAAATCAACCCAGGGAATTGCAATTGAACCTAACTAAGGGGCTAGGGGGACTCAATCCCGAGTGACTCTTGCCTGCTTTTGAAAACCGAACAATTTACTGCTTTCTTGTTGCTTTTACTTTTCACAACAATCACTTGAACTAGTTTGCTAGATAATAGAGAATCACGGAGTAAGCAGTAGATCTAGACCCCGGGTTGATAATTAAACTTGCCTGTTACTGCATTCCCGGACTGCGATTACACTTGGTCGCAGTTTGGTGTTGTGTTTTGGCGTGTCAGAAGGCGAGGTTACTCATTTACTATTCGCAGACGACACGCTTATCTTCTGTGAGGCTGATTACCAACAAGTTCTCAATGTCTTAGCAATTATAGTGTGCTTCCGATCACTGGACTAAGAATCAACTTGGATAACTTCGTTATATATACAATAGGGGACGTGGCAGACCCTAGTTTCTTTGCGGCTATTTTTGGGTAAAGTGGAGCAGTGAGCCTACCAGGTACCTTGGTTTCCCCCTGGGCGCTAAACCTAATGATGCTTCTATTTGGGATACAATGGTGGAAAGACTACAGGGTAAACTCAACGGTTGGGGTAGCAAGCATTTATCTACTGGTGCAAGACTGGTGCTATGCAAAGCAGTCCTTTCAAGCATGCCAACGTATCTCTTCTCATTGTTCAAGGCCCCGGTTTCGGTGATTAAGGAATTGGAGAGAACCATTAGAAGATTTCTCTGGAATGGAGTGGGGGATACTCATAAGCTGGCGCTTGTGGATTGGAGGATATGTAAAACCGAGCTAAGGGATGGGGTTTTGGGGATACATGATCTTAGAGCTTTCAATGATGCTATGCTCTCTAAGTGGCTTTGGAGATTCGCAGAGGAACGGGAAAGTTGGTGGCGTAAGCTGATTAATATTAAATACCACAACCCTTTTTCTATTTGGCAGACTATGAGGGCCAAAAGTGGGTTCTCCCAATCCGTTTGGGCGAATATCTCAAAACAATATGATACATTCTGGAAGTTTGCAAGCCTTGATCCTGGAAATGGCGTCCAGACTTCCTTCTGGCACGACTGCTGGTTCCGAGGGTCTGTACTTTCTGCTCTCTTCCCTCGTGTTACTGCTGCTGCTGCTGATCCCGATGCTCTGCTCTCCGACGTGGCGATTCGTAATGGTGAGGTGGTGAGTTGGTCCTTTAACCTTAAATTTCATCTGAGGGGTGGTGCTGAGAGAGAGAGAATCAATTTGATGAATTGGTTAGAGTCTGCTGAGTGGTCTAATAATCCTTATAGTCCTTGTAGAATTTCTTGGTTTCCTGACACAAGTGCCAAGTTTTCTGTAAGCTCTATGTACAGGATTCTTGTTAAGGAGACATTCAGAGGCATCCAAGGTTTCCCAGCCAAGCAAATATGGAAATCGATGATCCCAGCAAAGTGTGCTTCTTTGTGTGGCTTGTGTACCATAATAGGATCCTCACACTGGATAATCTAAAGAGAAGAGGCTGGAGTTTGGCAAACAGATGCTGCCTATGCTACAATATGTAAGAGCCGTGCCACTTGTTTGTTAGGTGTGAATATGTGAATGAAGTTTGGAGCAGGTTCAATTTTAGAGGAGGTAGCCCTTCAATTCAAGGTAGAGATGTTGCTGAGATTCTACAGAATTGGTCCCATTCGAACCCGAACAACACTGACGAGTGGGTAAGGGATTGCATGATACATGCTGTTTGATGGTTGGTCTGGTTAGAAAGGAACAGAAGGCTATTTGAAGACAAATATAGACCTGCTTCTGTGATAACGAGAAATGCTGCTGTTTTTTTTGCTTGAATGGCTCATAGCCCACCAGAAGATCGTCAAGGAGCAAGGAGAGTGCTGGCTGAGAAGAAACGTCATGACAAACTGAGCGTGTCTGAGTTTGTTATTAAAGAATTCCTTGCTTCGCTGTACTGTTTTGCGGGTAATTAGCATAAATGGTCACAAACCTTTGCACTTAGTACAAAACAGTCACAAACCTTTAATTTGTAACCATTTGATAACAAAACCTTTTTACTTAGAACAAAACGGTCACAAATTAAACAGTGTGGTCATTTCATACCAGTTCAAACTTTTGTTACCGTGTCGTTGCAAATTAGACTTTTGGTGACCGTTTTGTACAAATTAAGTTCAAAAGTTTGAACGCTCAATCACCGTTACAATTCACTCTAGTTGTATGGTGGTTTTGTTAATGTATGTGATGATATTATGTTGTTTAGGATGACAATGAGAGAACTCAATGGCTCACAAACGGGTTCCAGACTGCTTTTTAGTTGAAAAAACTATGTCTACTTTCTTACTTTCTTGGTATCGAAATTGAAAGGTCAACTGAGGGCATTCTTATTCGGCAAAGCAAATATGTCGATGCACACATGACCTGACATCTTATATGTCGTTCAAGTGGTTAGTGTCATATACTTAACGAACAAACTACCCGACCTCAAAACATGACCAACATTTTATTTGTAACGATTCGGTAACAAACCATTGAACTTAAAACAAAACGGTCATAAATTAAATAGCGGTGACCATTTTATACAATTTCAAACTTTTGTTACCGTATTGTTACAAATAAAAATTTTGTGACCATTTTGTACTAAGTGCAAAGGTTTGTTATCATTTATGCTAATTACCCACTGTTTTGCTCTTGCATCTGCGTTGGAGGGTATCTGCTGCTATTTTTTCTTTTCTTGGCGGCTGCTTTTGCTGGTCTTGATTTGTTGATGCGGCATACAGCTGCGTCCTTGTGGCGACAGGGAGATGGTTTGTATCATCTGGGTTTGGTTGGTTGTAGTTGTTGTGGGGTGGACTTGCTCGCAGTCTTGTTGGGGAAAAGGTTTTTGTTCCCTGCTTTGGAAGGAAGCTTATTTGGGGCCTTTTCTCATCGGGTGGACTAGTGTAGGAGTGGTCTGGTCCACTTAACACTCCTTTCCGTTTTTTTGTTTTTTCTCTGTTTCCCTTTGTCTTTTGGAGATCAGATCTTGTGATCTTTTTTGCACAGTTTGTTTGTTTTGCTTAATAAAGGTTATCACCATTATAAAAAAAAAAAAATTTACTAGTATATTAAATGCATATATTTTAAAACAAGCTGAATACGTCATAATAACAATTCAATTAAAACTCTCAGCCACCTTGGAATCTAAATATGGCGATGAATCCTAAATAATAAAAAATTTCAAGTCTAAACTCGTTTAACTTCTGCAGCTCTAAAGAAAAGCTGTGAAACTCGATCGATTCCAGGGTTACAGCTGAAAGATGAAATGCCAACAAAAGAGAGAGATCCTCAACATAGAACAATCAAAGAGATGATGCACAGGTCTTCACTGAAGCTGAAAGATGAACTGCCAACCTCAACATTCGTCATTTCAACAAGAAAATGAAAGGATTTTCCCCTGAAGCTGGCCTACTATTATCATTCGATCCTGGAAATCGTGCTCTTATGATTCCTTTACAATCCTACCCTAGATCAACCAGTCACTGGAGTTAACAAAAGAGACTAGACAATCAAAAAAACTAAAGAACAATGGAATATCTCCAAATTCCTCCAAAATAAAACTGGGCGCAGTACTGGAAACCTTCTCATTTCTCAAGTCACCACTCTACCCACACCTGAAACTAGTCCGCATCCCCCCATCCTTTTCTTTTGTGCTGCAGTCCCTCCCCACCTCACTCTAAACAAAGCTCCTCATTTTCTCCCAATCTCTCTCAATCACTTACTCGAAACTGCTCACAGTCTATGTTCCCAAATCTTGAAAAGTTAGTAATGAGAATGTTGATGAACTTCTTTAATTGCGCCTTGAAATTGGCCGAGGCCACCCTATCAGCATGGGTAAGATCTGCCACCCCGTCTTTGATAGTAATTGTACCTGGTGCATTTCCTTCTGCATAAGCTCTGCATGCTATCAGAATGTTATGCGCACACTGCTGGAAATGCCCCTTCACAAGCTCTTCAAAGTACTGCAAACCCAAAACAAAACCAAAAACATATTAGCCAATTTAGAGAGAATCCAGAACTGAACATTCGGTCCAGTCTCATTTCGACGTGGCTCATATTTTTCTTTATTTCTAACAGGATCCTTGAATCCCATCTGAACCAAGTGTATTTATTAGGTCCTGTTCAACTGAATCCAAGTGTCAGTTTGTTCTAGTGTGAACCGAATTGTTGCGCACCACTATTCAACAATGAGCAACAAGAAAAAGACCAAAATTATCACATTACCCTTGGCGGCCTTCTTAGGATGTACATCATCGTCTTGAGCGACAAAATAAACACGTTTTCACTGTACTCCCTGGACTGTTTAACCCCTATTTCTCCGGTGTAGTTTGCTTCATATCCCGGCTCATTAAAGAAGGGTCTTGCATTCAGAATCAGAGCCTGTATGGACACCAAAACTTGAAGCATGGTAGACCTTCCTGGTATCCACTTCTCATTTCGGTCCCCAGACCAAGTCCCCAATAGACTCAGGCAGACTTTCCCACATTCATACAAGTTCGGGTTCAGGCGGAGTCCACCAGAGTAGTAATATACCATCTGGCAAGAGACAGAGGGTAACCAAAAATTAATGCTTCAGCAGCAAAACACCATTTTAGATGCATATGTAACCCTTAACTAATACCAGCAAAATACATACAGGTGGAGCATTTGGATAGGTTGATGGGAAAATACAGTCGAACACAAAAAGGCCGTCGTGGTAAGGAGTACCAGCCGGCCCTATAATGACAGCTCTCAGAAGCTCCATTCTTGATTCATAAACTCTGACAAATATAGTCTCTGATAAAGACAAAGGAGCAGAGTCGTAAACAAAAAATATAAAAGAGACCAACAACCACTGACACTAAAGTGTTCGTATGAAAAAACTCACCAGGTAAGTCGTTTTCAAGAATCTTCCACTCGTCCTGGATTCTTTTCGCCCAATTTTTGGCTGGCGCCGCCTGCAAGACAAGCACCCAACATTAGCCCTTACATAATTAGAGAGGGCCAATACAATTTTTACGGCCAGGACAAGTCCGAACACCCCAGTTTCAAACGACACTCAACAGAGAAAGCTATTGGACGATAACAACTAACCTGCTCTCCTGAGCGAGCATAGTGATGATCCGAGAAATCTTCCACCATATCAAATGTTTTAAAGTTCTTGAGCTTTTCAATGATATTTTCTGCACTTTCTTCTACCTTATTACAAGAACTTGCCTCGCCATTGGGTGCTGCAGAAATACTACTACTGGATGCCACCAGACTTTTATCAACAGAAGAGCCAGAACTATTGCTCACTTTCCCTGTGACTTCAGCATGAGCATTGGTAACTGTAGTGCTTGGGACGGAAACTACATTTTCAGAAGGTTTGGTTATCCAAGGAACGGATACTTCCACCCCAGTGGGAAGATCCACATTATCAAACTGAGATTGAAGCTTCACATAATCGTCTTCATAGATGTCGCCATCATTGACATCATAATCAGACAGATACTCAGCATAATCATCATCACCATACTCCTCCTCATCGTCATCAGCAAGCTCCTCCTCCTCATCGTCATCATTGTGATACGAAATATCAGAATTGGAAGTGACAATATTGATTGGATCATCCGAAACAGACGATGAACTCTTTGCATGATTACCGCCAACCACCGCCAAACCAGCATCCTGTGGAGACGAAACATAAATCAGAGTAGCATTCACACATAGTGAGAAAAGGAACTCTTTTAAACTGACAACAACTACAACAAAGCACTTTATTATTGACATGATGCCATGTATCATCATCATTATCATACAAAATTTTGATTTGCCCTTGGCAGAGACATCAACCTTTTCAATGCCTATCAACCCATTGGTTAGATCTCCGTCTCCATCACCAATTACATCCCAGTTACCAACCTGAGAGGCACAATTGGATCATACAGAAACTGAGAACCAAGACACAAGTAAGAACCCTAGCACTAGAGCAGCGCATTATGGCCACGATAGCGAACGGGCAATAAGAGAGAATTCGAAACAAAAGAGGAACGTGGTAATAGAAAACAATTGACTCTTGAATTTTGCTTCTGCGCACTAGCTCTTTCTGATCAAGGAGAGAAATTGTCAGGAAACTCAAAAACCCTGGACTCGGCGAAACCAAACAGCAAATACTTCCACACACAAGTCTGCAGAAAACCCCCCAAAACCCCACAGGAAACGAGATGCATTCTAGCCTGATCGCAACCAAATAGGAAAAGGGAAGCCAACAGGAAGACGAATCCTTTATGATAATAAAAAACTAAAATTGAATTCTCCCAAAAAAAAAACACAGTGAAGACAACCCTTTTGATCATGCAAGCTCTAGGGCACCAAAAGGTGATCGCTTACTTACGTCGTTTTGTTTGAGTTTCTTATTGGTTGAAGCCGGCGGAGACACAGAGTCCGCCATGTCGAGATCCATCGCAGCCACAGATAGTGATCAGTTAGTCAGTCCAGCCGCGGCTCAAAATTCTATACAGAAGAAATATTTAAAAGAACAAGAACAAGAGCGAGCAGTTAGTTAGTTAGTTAGAGAAAGTCGAATGATTAGGGGGTCCGCCATGGGGACTAAAAAATCGCGAGGAAAACCCCATCAAACAAAGAAAGAAGGCAAATCCGTAATTCGGAACAAAGGCATTGACAGGAAAAGGGAGAGCGATCGAGACCTCGGAAAGGAGAATTCTAGTGGACGAACAGCCTCGTCGATCACTGCGTTTGTTGCCGTTGCCGTCGCCGAACCCGAAAAGAGAGAAAAACTAAAACAGAAGGCTATAGAGAGAGAGAGAGAGAGAGAGAGAGAGAGCAGCACCTCCGCCTTGCGCTGGACTCGCGCCTTATGAGGGGAAGTATTTTCCTATTAGTCCACTGAAAGGAAAACAAAATAAATAAATAAATAATAACAGGTGGGAAGGGGTGCGTTTAGCTACGGACGGTCACAGCTGGAATTCAGAGCAGAGCAGAGCAGGAAGTAGCTCTGAGTTGTGACTCGTCGAGTTCAGCCGCGGTTTTCGGGATATTTGTTGTGCTTGCTCAAAGGTCGCTCCGACTTCCTAGTCTTTAAGGACTGGACGGACCATCGCTATATAATTAAAAAGTATTTTCTTTTTAAGGTAAAAAAACGTGATTGATAGGTTTTTTTTTTATAAAAAAAGTTAATAGAATAAAATAGGTCCTTCATTGGTCGGGATTAGGGGTATGCAACTAATTGGACTAGTTCGGACTAGATCAAACTCATGAGAATTGCGATCAAATAGTGAAAGACATTTTAGGATCAAGAATTGGATCAACATTACATTTGGTCCGATTTGGTTGAGTCCAAATGTCGATTCGGTCCATTTTTCTTCCGTATTTAATTTTATTTGTATACTTCATGGGACCAAGGACTGAACCATGCTATATTCGATTCGGTATTGGTCTAGTCCAAGCTTCGATTTCATATGGTGAAGTCCGATACTGACCAAGCAACAACACATCCTAACCGAGATAACAACAAGATTGTCCATTAGGTGACGAAAAATGTCCTTTCTTTATTCTCAAATTTATTGGATTTCGATTTTATTTTTTGGTTTAGGACATTGTATTGGCTCTTTGATCTTTTATTCCTCGATGATACGAGCTATATAATATAAAAAAAAAGCGTTCAATGATGGTTTGCGTAAAAAATGCTTTTCGGTTATGAATATTTCTTATACTTATCCTTTATGTTAGATTTCTCATTAAAAAATAAGTAATTTTGATTAAACCGTTGACATACCCATATGAAATGTCTTTTTTTTTTTGTTGAAACCACCACCTCCACATTATTCTGATTCACAAAACCTAATTCATTTCACACAAATTCAACTCATTATCGCCATATCGTCATTCAGAAAACTTAATTCAATTTATCACATCGAATCTTGACATGATGGTACTATGCTCGAGCAGCTCCTTCCCTAACTTCATGGTGGTGGTGGTGAAGCCAATGACCTCCTACCTGGCTTCGTATTGCTCATATCCTCCCTTGTCTTCATCGGGTCATATCTCTGCATCTCTAAAACCCTTGGCGGACTGGTGAACTTGACTATAGCTATAAAATTAGTGGGGAGAGAGCAATTGAGTAAAACTTAGCTCAAAAAGACTCTTGGAGCCCACATAAGAGCTCGTGAAAGACTAGGAGAAGTCATGAGAGCTCATTGGAACCCCCCTAAAGATGCTAAAGTTAGATTGAGTTTACTGGAGGAATCTTGGTGGTAGTAGGAAAGGGACTTTGAGACCTTTGCTAGTCCAAGCTGAACATGTGGAAGCTAAGTTCAGCTTTTAGGAACTAAACCTAGCTTAGTCTAGCTTAGCTAGTTGAACTTAACTTATGTTACGGTTACTTTGCTTGTCCACCAAGTAACTGAGTGTCCATGTCTCACTAGTCTTAGGTTTCCTTGTTAATTGTTGAGAAAGGAAGCTTTGTCCTAAGATACTTAGCTACCGATGTCTTGTGGTAGCAAGTCATGGTCATTAGTAATCAATAACATCTCAATCCGTGAGCTCATTCGAGCTCACCGTGGATTAGTCATGTTCACACCGAACAGGGATACCACGTAAAATCTTTGTGTTGTGCGTTTGTGCCGCTTCCGCGTTTGGTTTTCCACATGGTATCAGAGCTGGAATTTTCCTTCTAGGGTTTCAGTTCCAGTCTCGTGTCTTCCTCTTGCTGTTGTGTCTCCCTGTCCACGCTGCTCCATCATGTCCGACGGAGAGTCAGGCTCCACGATCAGTGGGAAGGCGCCCGTTGTTCTGGCCGATGTCATCGGGCCGACGTCCCCATTGTTCCTCCATCCTTCAGATACTCCTTGTCAAGTCTTCGTTGTCGATTTGCTCACTGATGCAAATTACGGCGAGTGGTCAGCTGAAATCTCCAATGCGCTCCTTGCCAAGAACAAGTTGAGCTTCGTCTTGGGTACCATCGCCAAGCTTGCCTCCGATGAACAGCTCAACGCCTAGATCCGGTGTAACGCTATGGTTGTAGGTTGGCTTCGTCAAGCCATGTCCTGTGAGATTCGCTCCAGTCTTAGCTCGAGTTTCACGTCCAAACAGATATGGGATGAGTTACAGGAGAGGTTTAGCACTGTCAAACTTCCTCGTCACTACAAGATCCGTCGTCAAATCACTGGGTTGCGTCAGGATCGCACTAGTGTCCACCTTCTATGCTAAGCTGAAGCGGTTATGGGACGACTGGCTTACTCTTGATCCTCCAGAAAAGTGCACTTGTGGAAATTGCACTTGTAACGTCGAACAACGAACTCGCGAGTCCCACGAGGCTATGCGGCTCCTTGACTTTCTTGTGGGTCTCGATGATAGCTACTCCACTATTCGCACTCATCTGTTGTCCTTGAAGCCAATTCCCAGCCTTGGTGAAGCATACCATGTCGTTGCCAATGATGAACAGCAGCGCACCATCACCAATGACCATCGGCCTCGTGTCGAAGCAGCTGCCTTTCAAGGCCAGGGGGAGCGTCTTGATGAGTGCACTGCGGAGGGCAGACCTAAGTGTGGACATTGTGGCAAGCTGGGTCATTTTAAAGAAACCTGTTATGATCTCATTGGCTGACCGTCCAAATCTGGCGAGCATTCGAACCGTCCTCGTCGTCCAAGCTCCTCCCGTCCTCGCGCCGAGCCTCAGGCAGCAGCTGTCGAGCGTGATGAACCCGCCATCCCTGGGTTAACTGCGGAGCAAGTCACTCTGCTCCGAGCTTTTCTTGGAATGGATCCTACTGCTGCTTCTTCTTTAGTCGCGCAGCACCTTAAGGCCAACATATCAGGTACGTCTTTCGTAGATTTATCCGCAGCATGGTTTATTGATTCTGGTTGTACTGAACATATTGCTAAGGATAAATTTTTGTTCGATGGTGAGTTGGATGTCAACTCGGGTCTACAGGTTCGTATACCTAATGGGACGGGCATTACCGTCCAAGGCATTGGGAATTCAAAACTAAGTAATGGTCTCGCGCTTCAACGTGTATTACATGTCTCGGAATTCCAGTTCAATTTATTGTATATCAGTCGTCTCACTGCCGATCATCATGTTGCTGTAATTTTCTTGAGAAATTTCTGCGTACTACATGACTTACACTCCAGAGAGATGATTGGGATGGGTAGGCACGAGGATGGTCTCTACTACTTGCACGTGTTTGATGGGCGTCATCCGGTGGCTCTCACGGCCCAGCAAGCAGTAAAGGACTCTCAGTTGTGGCAGTCCAGAATTGGTCATCATCGGCATTGAAGTTTTCAGTCTTGCAGTCTTATATTCCTCGTACTTTGGTAGTCAGTAAACACCCGTGTTTGTCTTGTTTACGGGCTAAACAGACTCGATTAACTTTTGTCTCAGTACCATTAAGACTAAGTCATGTTTTGATCTTATTCACATTGGTATATGGGGCGGTTATCAGCAGGCTTCGTTCTCTGGTGCTCATTATTTTCTCACCATTATGGATGATTTTAGTCGAACTGTCTGGGTATTCTTGTTGAAGCAGTAATCAGAATTTGCTCGTTATCTTCTTCTATTTTGCAATCAAGTCACGACGCAATATGGAAGCAATGTCAAACGAATACAGGCTGATAATGGGAGAGAGTTCGGGACACCTGAACTGTGCGAGTTCTATGAGCAAAAGGGGATTATTCTTCAAACATCATGCGTAGATACTCCGCAGCAGAACGGCGTTGTTGAGAGAAAATATTGTCACCTCCTAGACACAGCTCGTGCACTTCGATTTCGTGCTGGTCTCCCGATTCAGTTTTGGGGAGAGTGTGTTCTCACTGCCGCATATCTAATCAACTGTATGCCACTCACCTCAATCCAGAATCGAACTCCGTACGAAGTCCTTCTTGGGAGTTGGCCACAGTATGATCATCTACGAACGTTTGGTTGTATCATCTATGTAAAGGACACTCACTCCGGTTTGTCAAAGTTTGCAGCTCGTGGCAAGCCCGGTATTTTGTTGGTTACCCTGCTCACCAACGGGGGTACCGTGTGTTTGACATTGGTCGCCGCATCATTTATACATCTCGAGATGTATTCTTTTTGGAGGATATTTTTCCTTTTAAGAATTTGGGGCCCTCGGCTACACTGCCCGCCCAGTCGTCTCTCTCACATCAGCTCGATGATGATGATGAGCCCGCAGATATGGGTATCTTCGACATGGTTCAAGGAGTGGTTGCTTCCTTCTAAAAAGATGATCTTGTCCCAGATTCATCTTCGCTTCAGTCTGTGTCCCCTACAACCCTACTTCACCAGCCACTACCACAGATTCTAGTCTGTCTCCTGGTCCACACCTGTCGACGCCCTCATCTACCTCCAGCTCATATCGTCCCAGATCCGACTCCAGTCCATAGTCTTCCGCTAAGGACACTAGTCTCACGGTTCCAACCACATCGTCTCCGGCAACTGACCACAGTCCCGCACCCATCTCTGTGCAGCCGGTCGAGCCAGCTCCTTGTCATAGCACGCGGGCACTTTGACTCCAGGATTATAACGTTGATCTCCCCGGTGCACGTTCCCATGCACACCATGCTGCTCTTTACCCCCTAAGAAACTAGGTGACATACGAGAGGTTGTCACCAGAGCACCACGCATTTGTGGCCAATGTTTCGGCCACCTTTGAGCCTACTTACTTTTGGCAGGCAGTTCGCTACGAGCACTGGCGGAAGGCTATGCAGGAAGAAATTACGACACTCGAAGCAAACGGTACGTGGGTTTTGGAAAATGCCCCTCCTGGCAAACGTATCGTTGATTGCAAGTGGATCT